AGAGAAGTGATAAAGGGGGAGGGGTGAGAAGAGGATAAGGGATGGAGGAAGGGAGAGAGTGTGATAAAGGGGAAGGGGGGATAAAGTGATAAAGGGGAAGGGGGAGAAGGAGAAGTGATGGAAGGTGAGAGGGAGAAGGGGAGGAGACAGGAGAGGTGATGAAGGAGAGGGAGAAGTGATAGAGGGATAAGGGAAGGAGGACGAGAAGTGATGGAGGAGAGGAAGTGATAGAGGGGGTGGGAGAGAAGTAATGGAGTAGGGGGGGGGGGGGGTTAAGCAGTTGGGTTGGAAGTGATGGAGGATTAGAAGTGATTGCAGTTAGGAGGGAGAAGTGATGGAGTAGGGAGGGGGAGGGGAGGAGGAGAAGTGATGGAGTAGGGAGGGGGAGGGGAGGAGGAGAAGTGATGGAGTAGGGAGGGGGAGGGGAGGAGGAGAAGTGATGGATGGTGGGGGGGGGGGTATTAACATTCCAGCCTCAAACGGTCGCTCTCGTCTGCATCCCGGTCTCCGCCTGAACACGTGACATTCACAACAACAACGCCAGAGGAAGGTCGAGGCCTCGAAGCTGTGATCCGAAGGTCTTTTGGGACAGGATCCATATAGGGAATTCTCGGAGGTCCATTAGTATCCCTCTTTATTTCTTTCTCTTTCTCTCTCTCTCTCTCTCTCTCTCTGTCCTCTCTCTCTCTGTCTGTCTGTCTCTCTCTCTCTCTCTCTCTCTGTCTCTCTCTCTCTCTCTCTCTCTCTCTGTCTGTCTCTCTGTCTGTCTGTCTCTCTCTCTCTCTCTCTCTCTCTCTCTCTCTCTCTCTCTCTCTCTCTCTCTCTCTCTCTCTCTCTCTCTCTCTCTCTCTCTCTCTCTCTCTCTCTCTCTCTCTGTCTCTCTCTCTCTGTCTCTCTCTCTCTCTCTCTCTCTCTCTCTCTCTCTCTCTCTCTCTCTCTCTCTCTCTCTCTCTCTCTCTCTCTCTCTCTCTCTCTCTCTCATCGATCTAACTTTCCCCTCTCCAGAAAGCGTTAACCCAAAAAAACACACAAAGATATATGTGTTCAGACTTATAATAAACGCATACTCTCACGCACAGTGTTCTCCATGCGTGTATGTATATCCTGAATGTATATATGTATTTATGCACGCATGAATGAACGAACAGATGAATGTGTAGATGTATACGCATGTCTATATTCGATGTAAGAGAAGCGATGAAAGATATTCTCATATTTATGCTTCATACATGCTTAATGGAATTTCCTTCTGCAGTAGATGGAAAGCCGAGGTTGCGTACTTGGTATCGCGATGGTCGTGGCGCATCTTCGTTTGTGCCGAACAATGCATCTTTATTGCACATGCGTAACTGCAGATAAATGGTAATACTACTGCTATTGTTGCTGATACTATTCGTACTACTGTCACCACTGCTACTACTACTACTGCTGTTGTTACTACTGTCGATGTAGCTAATGGTCCGTTGTTCCTACACTGCTGTTCACAAACACAGATCTACGCTAAGTTAAGGTATCTAACTTCTTCAGCAAAAAAAAAAAAAAAAAAAAAAAAAAAAACAGTCAGCATCCTCGGCTATGGATCTTGCCTCCAAATCGAAATAATTGGGGGCCTTTCAGACAAAAAAAAGAAACTTGTTTGTTTCGTTTTTCTATGTGTCTGATTCAGCGAGCATGTAAGAATCGGTAGCATGTAAAGTAATTTCCTTTCATTTATCTATGTCGTAAGATGGCCATAGTAAGTTAATGCTGTTGATACTCCCAGTTTTATATTTGTTTTATTCTTACATAAATAGTAAATGATACATAAAGTAATCTGGATCAAGGGAAGAGCTGAGGGAACGGAAGTACTATTTACCTAACGATAAAAACGTAATCAGAGTAACGTTAAAGAAAAACATGCAAACAGAAGGAACAGTATTTGACTTTCCGATTTTGCTCTTGCTACGTTCACTTGCTGTTTACCTCCGTTTACACTAACCCCATGCATATCCTTGTTACTGTAGAAATTACGTTTACTTTATACCACTTTCACGAAAGCCTTTCAAAACTGAGCAGGTCTATAAACCTAATATCGCCTCCATCAATCCGTGTTGCGTCGCCGACATAACATATGCTATAAAAAACAACCGTCACTTTCACTTGACTTTGTCTTGTGGAGAAGCAGCGGTTATAGCAGCAGCCCCCCTCCCTCCCCCAACATCCCCCACCCACCCCAATATCCACTACTCGCCCCCCCTCTTAGCCCCCCCCCCTTATCCAATACCACCCCCCTCTTCACCAGGGCCTTGACTGCCTGTCATCATCAGTGAAGCCCAGTTTCCACATCTCAAAAGATTTGAACGCTGTGGTAAGTAGTGAGCTGTTCACTGCTGGCTATGTTTAGTGGAGAGGGAAGGAATGTGTACGTGCATTTGAGAGAAAAAAGAATGAGAAAACGTCTTCTCGTGAGTTTGTGTGTGTGTGTGTGTGTGTGTGTGAGAGAGAGAGAGAGAGAGAGAGA